CCATGTCAACTAAATTCATTTTCAGAGCATGGAAACTTAAGGTTTGTAACGCCAACAGTTGGAATTTTGGAAACTTTGCTGTTTTCGTTTAGAGATTGAGGCAGCTCTGCCTTTGCCCAAAATCATTAAAGATATTAGGTGATTCTATCGATGGATGTACTTGCTATTTATTTGAACAGCGTTAACCAAACAAAAGGGGGGTTTCTGTATAAACTCAGCCAACAAAACCAAGAGATGATGGCAATGAAGTAATTCATGCGGCAAAACATAAAATTTGTTGGAGCAAAGATGGGGATGATTTCATAGGCAATTGCACAATTCAAGAACCTATCAACTGCATGATATAGAAAGCCTGCCAAAAGATCAAGATCCATAAATGATCCAGTTACCTAAGCTACAGACACTGATTGGTTTACATCTAATTAGCTCGAGCAAAAGGAGAGAGGAGACATACCGACAAATTCCAAAACATAGTTCAGTGCAATTAATGCATCTCTTTGAGCTAAACTATTTAATAGCTCTACCCTATCTCATGCAGAAACAGAAACAGAAACAGGAGCGGGCTAGCATTGTCAAGGCAAATTCTTGCAAGTTATTTCAGAGTAACGGCTGCATTTCTCAATGCCAGATACCTTTGCACATGCTCATTTGGAAGTGATCTCACGAGTTTGAAGACATCAGTATTTGCATAACGGAGGTTGGTCCTTGGGTCATGGTAAGGCGCCTGCAGAAGAAGTTCACTATGTATAAGAGGTTCTGTAAAGAGATTGGTATACTTTCCATATTGTTTCAGATAGCATTCAAGATTGTAGGAGTTAATCATTGCATGTTCAATCTGTATTTTATGGGATGAATGGAATTGAAAATATATGGTGTCTAAGTGTCAAGCTAATCAAGAACAGAGGATAGCTAGGCTCTTTACTTTTCAATTTCATATATCAACATAAACATTTAACAAGGTCAGCACAATCTCGAGCGCCATGCTCAATCTTGAACAATCTAAACTTCAGCATCATGGCTTCTTCCAGCTAAACAAAAGCAAATGTATTCGGAATCCAGTTGTAGGACATCCCAGGGCGCCTTCAAAGATGCGCACCATGCACATTTGCTTCATCAAAGTTGCAAGATTACATGTTAAATCTGGTCAAACAAATCTAACTTTGAGTATTTTTCCCAACCACTAACTTCCAGTTTTCACATTTCTAACAAGCAATAGAGTACTAGGATGTCATTCATCCTCAGAAATATTGCTTACAAATATGACACCACATGTAAATGACATAAGAAAGAATATTGCCAAGCAGGAAACAGGAACCAGTTCTTAGTTTGAGTTATGTAATTGTTTAGCTTGAGTTATGTAATGGTTGGAACTCTACCTCCATCCTCAATTTCATCAAGACAATAAGCTTGTACAGATGTAAACAAGCTCAAGCTCAACCAAATTATATGTGATGAGCTCAAAAACTAAGAGACGGAGTAGCTCAACTGACGAACGGAGTAGCTCAACCAAATTATGGCAATGCATAATATGCAGAATGATGAACAGCTCATAATAATCTTCTCACTCTAAAAGAAAGTTGATGAGGTACTTAGACGATGCAAATTGATCGGAAAGCCTCCAAGTTACAGGATTATATTTAGGTTAGATGAAGCCAAACAAATCTAGCCTTCAATTGTTTTTTCTCAACCAATAGTTTGTAGTGTCCAAAGTTGAACTGGCAATAGTAAAACACCACATGTAAATGACATAAGAAAGAATATTGCCAAGCAGGAAACAGGAACCAGTTCTTAGCTTGAGTTATGTAATGGTTGGAACTCTACCTCCATCCTCAATTTCATCAAGACAATAAGCTTGTACAGATGTAAACAAGCTCAAGCTCAACCAAATTATATGTGATGAGCTCAAAAACTAAGAGACGGAGTAGCTCAACTGACGAACGGAGTAGCTCAACCAAATTATGGCAATGCATAATATGCAGAATGATGAACAGCTCATAATAATCTTCTCACTCTAAAAGAAAGTTGATGAGGTACTTAGATGATGCAAATTGATCGGAAAGCCTCCTTCAAGTTACATGATTATATTTAGGTTGGATGAAGCCAAACAAATCTAGCCTTCAATTGTTTTTTCTCAACCAATAGTTTGTAGTGTCCAAATTTGAACTGGCAACAGTACAACTAAGTTATTTATCCACAGCAACCAATAAGTTCATGATATTCAAAACCAAAAAATGATTCACCATGCAACTAACAAAAAAAATGCCATGGCCAATTAAGTCAAGTAAAAGAAACCAGTGCTCTATTTAATTCAGGAATTTTTGAAACTTTAGTCCTCAATTCCACTGAACAAGCTAAAGAACATATGATTGTAGAAAAGCTTAAGCTCAGCCAAACCATACACAAGTTCAATGACAGCAGGTGTATCCTAGCTGAATAGCAGAGAATGAATAAAATGCAGATTATCATTAACAGCTGATGATTCTCTCTCAATTAGAGACCACCAAATAATCAACAAGCAAGGTTCTGACGCACAAAATAGTTGTTCCTCCCGACCCTCAAAATAAAAGGACTTCAGAAGGATATGATCCAACTGATGAAAATAACCAGTGATGACACTCAAAGATATTTCTAAATTTACCAGATATTTCTAAATTTTGATACATTAAAATTTAAATCTAATGCCAGTGATTGACTCATTCATTCATGATCTGATTTATAAGACAATTTCAAGTTGGCCACATTATTCACAAATGAGCAAGAAATGACGATGAATTTCATCTGCCAGTTCAAGCACTAAACACATCTCAACAGAAACACATACCTCGAATCCTGTAATATCGCATATTCTCAAAGGTGGGTGCATGGAGGGTGGTGACTCAATATTAACATCTGCAAGAGGGGAAAAAAAACAGCAAAGGTAATTTAACCTCTTATCAAACCTAACCTAATATCAATAAAAAAAAAAAAAAACAACCATCTGCAGAAACGTATTAAAGAATACAGCTTAATCCAAGCAATTAATTGTTGAACAATGGGCAGAACACAAGAATCTTCTATAAAACCCCCCGGTGCTACCATTGTACAAAATAATCACCATTACATTTTCCCTTCAAATTTCACTTTTTGTGGGCCCAGGAACCCACAAATACTGAAACAATGGAATGCTAATGCAATAAATAATGGCTTCCCTTTCTTCATCTAAAAAAATCACCAAAGGATAACTTTTTCAGCTATATATCAAACAAATCACAACCAGACGTCAAATTAAAGTAAGGAAAAAAAATAAAAAGAGAAGCTAGGAAATGGCGGAGGTTGTTCTTAAACGAGGAGCTTACAGTTGGGTTCATCTGGAGGGCAATTCTGATAATTTTCTGCTTGAAGAATCTGCTTAAGGTGTTTCCAACGGCCTCTTGGTTGTCCCTTTGGGTATTTCTCATATATCTGTATCCTCTTGAAACTGAAGTGTGTTGGCAACACCAGCTCTGCATTTATCAACTCTGCTTCCATCTTCTTCCTCTCTTCCTCTTCTATATCTAAAAAGCAAAAATACCACTCAATTCAATGATTTATCCCTTATAGATCAAATTTAAAAGAATAGAAACTACATAAAAAAGAGTACAAATTTAAAGAAAAGAAAAATAATCTATGATTATAAATATAAAAAACTGAAAAAGAGTATAAAAACAATTAAAAAAAACAGGAATTTCATCCGAAACCCAACAAAAAGAATGGGCAAACGAACCTCTGAGTTCAGAATCCCCTGCTGCTCGAACTGGGCACAACAGTAAACGGACAAATAATCTCCACTTTATATAGTCATAGAAAATCTCAATTTAGTAACCGACGATGAACTGATTTTCGATTTAGATCCCAAACTATCAATGCTTTCAATTAGGTCCCTAATGCAACAGCAAAGTGTCGAATTTTGCTTAAAGCAGGGTTAATTTATTACACAACGAGTTAGATTTCCAAGCCAGTTTTCTTGAGTTCCACCTTTTCTTAATTTTAATTTTAATTACTTGAGTTTTCATTTAAAAATATTTAATATATAGTGACAGGGCTACAAAATTAAGCCCAAATAATAGGAGTAAAAGAAAGCCCAACCACACAGCAAAGAAAGAATAAAAAAGAGAGCCCAATAAAGAAATGAAGGAAAAGAAAAGGCCCAACCGGAGAGGAGAAGGGCAATGTCAAGGAGAATAACCTTGGGCTCAAAACCAAGCCCAACAAACCTCGAAATTGAAAAGTAAGCCCAATCGAGGAAGAGAGCCCAATAAAGCCAACGAACCCATCGAACCTCTTTGTTTTTCCTCCAAAATGACAACTCCTTGGGCTTTCTTTTACTCCTAATTTTTTTTAAAAAAATAGATATGACAAGCTAAACGCTTAAACATCTAACTGCAGGATTAAATTAGTTGTTTGATGTTATTTAAAATAGATATTATTCATTCGCTTGTTATGATTGATTTTGTTTCATATACAGGAAGGATGGCTTTCTTCATATGGTTGCTATCCGTCTTCGAGATGATGCTTTTGTTGTTGTGCATGGTGATCATCCATGAACATGTGACTTTTCCCAGCCCAACCTTACAAAGTATTTCCTCGTTTGATTTTACTCTAACTAAAGTTTTGCTTAGAATCCTCGATCGTAATTCGAAAAGAGAACATTAACACAAAGATGAGTGTGTATTTCATGCAGGAGGTTCTAATTAATCAGATTTGAATCTTTTGTGTTTAAATCATGTGAAGAGCTCTGAAAGACCCTCAATATTTGAGCTAATTTCATTATTTTCATTTTTATTTTTGAATTTTTAGCTTTATTTCAGATTTTATGTTGTCTTTCAATTTAGGATTCTAAATCTTATACCTTGCAAATGTTAGTTTCTAACCTATTTAAGAAGCTGTATATCTTAGAAAAAAAGTATTCATAAATCAAATATAAATTCGGTAACAATTCTCTATCTTTCTTTGCTTGACGTGATCTTCTTGTGTATTGGCTTTGGTCTACGTCAAAATCGCCATGCTTTCCTGCTAATTTTTTGTGTAAACGAGTAATTGGCAAACCCGCAACTAGCAACTTGGCCTTTCCAGCATAGAAAATCTTGCCCTAACAACAATCAGGGGTAGCCAGTCACACCCTTTCCATAGGTTAATCTTGCTTTATTAAAAGCCCTGAAAGACCCTCAATTTTTTTATTTTTAGCTTTATTTCAGATTTTATGTTGTCTTTCTTGTTTGATTTAGGATTCTAACACTCATTAAAAAAAGTGCCTGATATATACCACAATTTCAATTGCAAAATCTGTCAGCTAATCAACAAGAAATGAAAACAACAAAACTATAAAAGTAAGATAATCCAAAGGCATGATAATTGAATTGAAAATCTAGAATGATGGCCATAGAGTTTCATCCTAACCATCTGGGTTTTCAATTTCTGTTCCGTTTTATGTCTGCTTATTTTTAAATTGTCAGAGGTCGTCCTGTCAGGAAAAAAGAAAAGCAAAAAAAGATTAAAATGTTCAAGAAGACCTACTTGAATGTGATTATGCACTATTGAATTTCCACTAAATTGAAGCAAATAAAAAAGGGCATTGTAATTTAGGGTTCTTTCTTAAGTATGTGATGATGAGCTGTGTTTTGCATGGGACATGGTGTTTGATGATACTGCATAGCTTAGTCACTGATACTGTACTGTCATAAATTTATCACCACACACATATTCCCACCGAAAGCAATATCTTTAAAGATATATTTGGTGCAACATCTTGAATGAAGAAACAGTGCCATCACAATTTACATTTAATTCAATCAATAACACAAATTAATGAAGAAAAAGATGGATGCGTGCAGCTACCTTTACGGCTTTCTTACGTTGAGCTCATCCTCAATAAAAAGACGTGTTTTTACCAGCAATGTCAACTAAATTCATTTTCAGAGCATGGAAACTAAAGGTTTGTAACGCCAACAGTTAGAATTTTGCAAGCTCTGGTGTTTTCTTTTAAAGATTTAGGCAGCTCTGCCTTTTCCCATAATCACTAAAGATATTAGGTGATTCTATCGATGGATGCACGTGCTATTAATTTGAACAGCGTTAACCAAACAAAAGGTGGGTTTCTGTATAAACTCAGCCAACAAAACCAAGAGATGTTGGCAATGAAGTAATTTAAGTGGAAAAACATAGAAATGTTGGGAGCGAGGATGGAGATGATTTCATAGGCAATTGCACTAGTTTTTAATGCCGTGCACAATTCAAGAACCTATCAACTGCATGATATGGCAAGCCTGCCAAAAGGTCAAGATCCATAAATGATCCAGTTACCTAAGCTACAGACACTGATTGGTTTACATCAAATTAGCCATACTGACAAATTCCAAAACATAGTTCGGTGCAATTAATCAACTCTCACCACAGTACAGATCACAAATAACAATAAATATGCATCTCTTCGAGCTAAACTATTTAATAGCTCTATCCTATCTCATGCAGAAACAGAAACAGGAGCAGGCTAGCATTGTCAAGGCGAATTCTTGCAAGTTATTTCAGAGTAACGGCTGCATTTCTCAATGCAAGATACCTATGCACATGCTCATTTGGAAGTGATCTCACGAGTTTGAAGACATCAGTATTTGCATAACGGAGGTTGGTCCTTGGATCATGGTAAGGTGCCTGCAGAAGAAGTTCGCTATGTGTAAGAGGGTCTGTAAAGAGATTGGTATACTATTCCATATTGTTTCAGATAGCATTCAAGATAGTAGGAGTTAATCATTGCATGTTCAATCTGTATTTCATGGGATGAATGGAATTGATAGCATATGGTGTCGAAGTGTCAAGCTACTCAAGAACAGAGGATGGCTAGGCTTTTTACCTTTTAATTTCGTATATCAACACAAACATTTAACAAGGTCAGCACAATCTTGAACGCCATGCTCAATCCTGAACAATCTAAACTTCAGCACTATGGCTTCTTCCAGCTAAACAAAAGCAGATGTATTAGGAATCCAGTTGTAGGGCATCCCAGGGCACCTTCAAAGATGCGTACCAGGACATACCAGGGCACATTTGCTTCATCAAAGTTGCAAGATTACATGTTAAATCTGGTCAAACAAATTTATCTTTGAATTTTTCCCCACCCACTAACTTACAGTTTCCACATTTCTAACAAGCAATAGAGTACTAGGATGTAATTCATCCTCAGAAATATTGCTACAACAGATCAGCCAAGAATTAGGCAAGTCAATGTATCCAAATTAAGCAACTTGTAATGTTATAAAAAAACCAGCAGCTCGTATAGAATAGTAAGCTATATATTCACGTTAATATTCAAAGAAACAGATAAAACCTTTCTTCCATTGAAACATCCTTTTTTCTCTAAATTTCCGCTATTTAGACTGCAAGCATTAATTATTGATTGAATCATTTTTTTATACAAGAGTTCTAATAATAAATTTCAGAAAAATAATGACAAGATTTTAACAGAAAAAAACTGTTCTATAACAGCTTTATTTGCAACAAATCTCCTAACTTATTGGAGATAATCTTTACTCAACCTTCTCAGCATCGAAAACCACTTCTTCATCGGCAAATGAGGCAACCATCAACAAACCAGCTGCATACGCAGAGATAGTGTCAATGGGTGGGATTACCAAACAAGTTAAGAGGAATCTGATCGCTACCCTTGGCACAATTCTTGAGGCTATTATCCATCCCCAGGGCACGATTCTTCCTCAAAGTTTATGATACAACAGCTGCTGGCAACTGCTCCAAGTTGTAACTTCTGATAGGATGATGGCCATAGAGTTTCATCATGAGATGCTTTCGATGAAGGGGAAAAAGATGAAACTTTTAGTCCTTCTTTACCACGCGATTCACATTTTGTGGATGATGGGTTGATATTGGGATGGAGTTTGGACCAAATGCATTTGTTTTCCATTGAGAGCAGCACGATATCATGGGTTCGGTGGAAATCACAGTCCACCATTTTTGTGGAGGATAAAGTGTTCTAAGAAAGTGACTTGGTAGCTGAATTGGTGGAAATCACAGTCCTTTACCTCAAAGTCCCATTTGTTTAAAAAAGTGCTTCATTTAAAAGGTTGGAATCGTTCAAAGTTTTTCATCAGAGACTAATCACACAATAACATGAAATAAGTCTAATTTTCTATTACATATACTGTAGTTAGACTTGATCCTGTATTCTGATCGATTCATGGTCCATTCCTTGATCTTGTACAGCACAACTTTTGTGCCTTCGGGGTGGTCCAGGTCCTGCCATCCTCTTGCATATATCCTTGCCAATCCAGCTCAAGACATGTGCTTCCAGACAGTGAAGTAAGGGCAGGGGCAAGTGTGGGATTTCTTGATTTTGAAACTCTTCCTTCCTCAATTATATAAGGAGGTTTTAAGCATCGGATTTTGAAGCAACAAGTGTGGATTTCCTAGTCCCTGATCTTTTTGGTGACAGAACTTTTCTCTCACGCATATTTATTCTCTTACAAAGAAGAAGAAGAAATAAGGGCTGAGATACAAAGATTAGATTCAGATAAGATGCCTTGCCTTTATATCTCCACCAATGTCAACCTTGATGATGTTGATAAGGATCCCATCTTTTCCGAGGCCACAAAAGCTGTTGCTTCCATCATCGGAAGACCTGAACATGTAAACACTCTCTATCCCTCCAACTCTCTTTTCCTTCAATTTCTTCTGCTTGTTCATGTTCGAATTCTGTGGCCTACAAATGCATGCCTTGTTCCCTTTGATATGTTGGCCTACAGCCCAGTTTGTGTGTTGATTTTCTTTAATGGTGACCCTTAAAGGTGAAAGAAGGATCGGTTGCTTAATTGTTTTTAATGTTAGTATTTTAAGGAGGCCACTTTCTCCAATGGAAAGTTAAATAATTTGATACCTTCCAATAAGGATCATGTTCCCTTTACCCTTCTTAACCCATTTAATCCAACTTGCTAAGATGGTTTCAGATTTGATTTTCAATTTCTGCGGCAGTTTTTTTGAAGTTGAATCCAAGTTTTTTTGGGTAATGCCGGGGAGCCATGGCCAT